GTAAGTCACTGCAACGACAGGAAACCTCACCCCCGTGGCAGATAAGAACACCGCACTCGAGACGACTTTGATCTCGATGGAGGAGCAGACACACAGGCTGTCTCAGCCAGGGCAACTCACGGAGATTTAGGAGGCTGTCTTGAGACTGAAGAAGGGGAAGCGGCACCCCTGGTCATTGGGGCTTTGGTTTTGATCAGCCACCTCCTTAGCTGTTCAGAAGCGGCCGCGGAGTCCAGGGAGACAGTTCCAGGCCCGGCTCTGCCAGTGCCGGCTGTGGGAAGTCGAGCAGGTCACTTGACTCCTCTTAGCCTCTGATCCTTTGTCTGTTAATCATGGCCGGATCTGCTAATGGCTAGTAGATGGCGAATCTGCCAACTCCTCCACTGATTGCATGGGACTTGCTGTGAAAGTGTAAAGCACTGAAAATGAAAGCTATGACATATTATTTAGCCCCAATTTAAAATGGTACATGTTCTTATTTCCACATAGGTCACTAAAATTCCAGCTTGTCTGGTTCCTACTATTTCTTCTTCTTAATAAATCTCTTTGCAGTCTCCACGTTCTCTCCCTGTGCCCCAGACCCTGGCAGTCAGCTGCCTCTCAGCACCGCCTGTCCCCTTCTTGTCCCTACACAACCCTAGATAAGAAAGAAAAGGAAAAGGAAGAGAAGGGAACAGAATAATATTTACCGTCGTACAAACATCCTCACAAAAGCAAAGGCGATCTTATAGAAAACCCACCTAGCATCACATCCCCTTAACAGAGCCGCTCACCCTTTCCCACTCCACTCCCCAAGCGCCCGCGGGCGTTCGCCGTCCCGCCTGGCCGGGATCACCGAGCGAGCCGTTACCTGCTGCTAGGTCTGTTTATTGGACGTCGCTATAGATAGACACGAGTTGCCACATCCCTTCGTATTATCTCTGCTACTGGTTATAAACTGCCCCATGGGGTGAAATGTATCATGATGAAAACCATAATTTTCCTACTGTTGGCCACTGAGTTTTATTTTAATGAATAATTTCATAATGAATACCTGATATATATATATATATATATATACACACACACAGCCCTTTTTCTTCCCTCACACATTAGAGTGGGAAGTGTTTATAATTTTTCCTCTAAAACCAGCAACACTTTCTGAATTCCCTGCAAGCTGAGTGCTGCCCAGCCTTTGCTGGCGCCTCTCCCTTCCCTTGCCTGATCCCCTGCAAGACCTCTGGCCGGGAGGCTGAGGCTTGCTGCTGTCTCTGGTCACGGCTCTTGCCGTCAGCGTCAGCGCGTCTGTTCCAGCGCCGCCTCTTTGCTCAGAGGCCGGGAGAGCGCAGACGGCTCGCGGTGCCAGCTCCGCAGACGCGGCCCGTCCGCAGCCAGGGGGTTCTGTGGAGCAGGGCGAGGTCCTGTCTGGACGGTCCCTCGACAGCCGGCGTGCACTGGTTCTCCGGCCCGAGCGGAAGTGAAATGTGACTTGTGTCGCTCAGGGTCCGGCCAGGAAAAGGGGACCCGCCCAGGCCTTCAGAGCAGAGGGAATCTGGCTCCAGGACTTGGGCGCACAGATGAAGGGGCAGCAGAGAGGCTCCTCGGGAGGACGCAGCAACGGAGGGATCAGTGCGAGGGGGGCACCGTCCAGGGCTGGAGGACGGAGCCAGACGCTGGGCTCTGGGGACCTGTCAGCTCAGGCGGGCTGTGGGCAGCCCCTGCCTTGCCCTCTCCCACCAGCGCCTCCTGTGGCGCCTCCCAGCTGGAAGCCAGCGTCGCCACGAGGGGCCTGCGGCACACGACACGCAGGGGAGCCCCTGCCCCAGCCCCCCAGTCTGCGGTGCAAGGTGGCTGGGGAGAGAGCAAGCCCAAAGCAGACAAGGGGTCAGGACGAGATCACACGCCAAATATTCGTTCAAAATAGCACCCAGGCCAGAAAGAAAAGTCCTCTGAGAGAGGACTTTCAATTTTCAGTATTCATGTCAGCCACATCTGTGTTCTTAGTTGCAAATGATACCAATTGCTTGTTTGAGCCAAAAAAAAAAAGGCTTGTCGAGGATATCAGCAGATCACGGAATCTCTGGGAGGACAGAGGCAGGCTCGGAGGCTGCACGACCAGGAGCGCACTATCAGCGACACAGGCCCGGCCAGCGCCAACCGGGGCCCACACCGCCCTCCTTCCTAAGTCTGCCGCAGAGGCGGGGTCTCCCTGCCATGCGCTCGGCCTCCGTGGAGTAGACTCGACCCGGTTCCTGCCTCCTCCTGGTTCTGAGCGCCGAGTCTCTTGCGGTGCGCCTGGCCGCGCGGCCGGGGCACCTGTCTGAGCCCCAGCTGTGAAGGAGGCTGGAAAAGAGAGTTCTGCTCTGGGGAAGGAGGACGCAGTGTGGGAAGCGCCAGTTTCCCACAGGGAGACTGTTCACAAGACGCCTGCTGGCCACGCATTGATAGCTGTTCAACTGTTGTTCACTACCAAGTGTCCCCAGATGTTGCCACACTTGTGACCATTAAAATGGACGTGAGTGAGGGAGGTGATACCACCCACTGACAAAATGGGATCACGCCAGTGCCACTTGTCATGTCAGGGCTGGTTCCTTTCCTTCCCTGCACCTGATGGCAGCACCCTGCACTCGTGGCCGTTGTGACAGCCTTGTCCTCTGATGGCGTTGCATCGGGAAGCTGAGGCTGTGGCTAGACCGTAGAGTTGGAAGGGAGCTCAGAGGACATCCAGCCTCCTTCCCACCAAACACGACACTCTCCAAGGTCTCCCAACCACTCTAGCTGTCAGAAAGATTCTTTCCCTAACTGCTGTTGATGTATGTTTCTGCAATGAGACTCTTTTTCCACAAATTCAAGATGTGAAGACCAATTAACAAAAGAATGTGTATAGGTCAGCCCTACCTAGGGGCATGGATTAGAAGGATAAAGCCAGGTTCAACCCTGGGGAAGAGCATTTAAGAACTTAGTCTTCATAGACTATCAGACAACTCTTTCATTCACTGCCTTTGTGATTATGTTCTGGTGGAGAAAGATCGATTGAATTATTTTTGTAATAGCCATTAATAGAGTATCCCCCTCTACCTACTTTGCTGCATTAAGTTCTAGAAATCAAAAAGTGAGTAAGACATGGCTCTTGCTCTCAGGTAACTCACAATCTCATAAGAAAGGCAAAGATGTAAACAGAATTAAGGTAAGAACTACAAGAAAAGAATGGATGAAATATGCTGAGAGGCTGGAGGAGGGAGCCTGGGAGGAACAGGCTTGGGGTGCGTGGGACTGAGAGGGACGGGCCCTGAGGGGCCCCCAGGGCTCTGCTGAGAGACCAGGGAGCCGCGGTCAGGCAAAGTTCCTGGGGGTGAGGTCAGGTGAGCTGCGTGCGTCAGAGCGGCTAGGCAGGGTGAGGGTGCCTGGGAGAAAGAGGCGCTCTGATGGAGGGACAGTGAAACAGAGACCTGGGGCCTGAATACGGGTCGGGGATACGTGTAGGTGTTTCTTCCGTAGTATGATCTTTAGGGACTATTAAAAGAAACTCCTCGTTCCTTTCTTCCACCCATTTAAAAATGTATACAAAAACAAAGCAATACAAAACAAAAACCCTCTATAACAGTGGTTGCACATACTAAGGACCAGACAGTAAATAATTTGGGCCTTTCTAGCCATACAGACAGTCTCTGACACATTTGCTCCATTCTGCTGTTGTCTTGCAAAAGCAGCTGGAGATGGGGCTTAAGTGAGTGAGCATGGCTGTGTTCCAATAAAACTTTATTGACAAAGACAGGCAGTGGGCTGGATTTGGCCTGAGAGCCATGGCTGGCCAACACTTGCTTTACAGCATCAAATTTGAGAACTGACACTTCCCCATTCATTTGTCAGCTCCTTTCTGAGTGCGCATTTTGAATGTGTGTGTAAGGCAGGATTGAGGGGAGAGGCTACGGGGCAGGAGTGACTCAGGAAGACATGTGAGGTATAGAATGCAGAGGTTCCTTGGAGTTCCTGGGAGAAAAGGTGTCGCTGTCAGAGGGACAGCCCCACTAATTTCTCCTGCCTCCAGGCCTCCCGCCCTGCTGTCTCACCAAGACTCCAAACTGCCTGGCTGCACCTGGGCCAGCCGCTGCTAGGCACGGGCTGTATTTCGTCCGTGAGGTGACTAAGCACATGATAATTTATATTTTGGTGCAAAAGCACCTCGAGCCCCTTTGAGATGAAAGAGTCTATATAAAACTGAGTTATGAGCCTGCTTAATAGAAGCCCTGCTGTGTTTTTCCAAAAGTGGAGTTAAACCCCTTTGGCATCTGGAGGGCTGGCTGCGAAGGATCGCTGGGCATCTCAGCGGCCCTGGCTCTTGCTGTTGGTTCTGTGGGCCGTGAATCACCCTGCTCCGCGCCCAGAGGCGACATCTGTGGTTGCCAAAGCACTGAGGAGCAGGATCCCCAACCGGTCCAGGCTGAGGCTGGGTCTATGCTGTTTGTTTGGGAGGTGAGGAACACACACACACACACACACACACACACACACACGTACGCACGCTCACCTAGCCATCCTCCATAACATTCCAGAACAGCTATTCCCTTACTCTACAACTTCCTAGGGATTCTCATGACACTGGTTTTGTTTTTACACGAAAGATTTGATGTGGTCATGCTCCTTTGTTATTTTGTACTTTTAACCCCCGGAAGGGCTCCTTTCTTTGTGGAGCAAGGCTACCAGCAGGTGTGACTCTGTCCTGTCCAAAGCCCAGGACTTCGTAGGCCAGTTGGCCCCGCTCAGCACTGGGCCTGTCTTCAGACAGTATTTGACAGGGCATACCAACATGTCTTTTTTTAGAAAAGACCATAAGTGTCTTATCTTACTCCTTTGGAATTTTCCATGGTCATTTAACCTCGAGTTTAGGAAAGGTTGGTATGAGGTTCTCCAAATCTCCCGGAACTCGTACTTCAGATCCGCGAGCTCCATTCACTCGAGAGGCGGCCGGGCCTCCACTCGCCTGCACACCTCATTTCCGTCTCTCCCCCACGCGGGGAACCTTGTGGTTAAAATAACACACAGCCTCCATTCAGAGCTAAAACGCAGAGCTGCTATTGGAAGCAGATTTTGGATCTGGAAAACTCTCAGCAGATGCATCCGAGGGGCTTTTGAAAAATTCAATTTTTTGACTCACGTGAAGACATCGGGGATCCCCCTCAGGTAAATATTTTCTTCCTTTTTCCATTGTTTTGTGAAAAAGATGAGTAAGAATATGACGTCAGTCATCACTGGGAGCAGCTGGCTGCTTTCTAGCTCCTTCCCTGGGAACAGGGCTTGTGTGTGTTTCGCTGAAAGGGTAAACTGATAAAACAGGAATCTCCGGGGCAGAAAGTGGCAGAAACGCTCCTCTGTCTGTGGGAAGGGCTGGGGCCTGGGGACAGGCAAGCCTCGGGCCTGTGGCCGGGCTGCGCAGGTGGCGAGGGCGGGAACAGGGCGGGCGGGCTCACCTCTCTTCAGGGAGCCGGTGCTGCTGCGTCCTCTACCTGCAACCCGCTTGGCGATTTCTGTGAAAGATAGCTCTGCTGTCGTATTTTCATATTTTTAAAACTCATGCCTTTCTCCAGTGATAGATCTTTAAAAATTCATCCTAGATCTATTGTAAAATATTTTAACATTTTATTCAAACACCAATAACTGTGTTCTCCTATGATAAAGAATAGTTCATTTGCAGAATGAGCCATTTTTCTTTCTTTTTTTTCTTTCTTTCTTTCTTATTTTTTTTTTTTTTTTTTTTTTTTTTTTTTTTTTTTTTTTTTTTTTTTTTTTTGAGACAGAGTCTCACTCTGTTGCTCAGGCTAGAGTGCCGTGGCATCAGCCTGGCTCACAGCAACCTCCAACTCCTGGACTCAAGCAATCCTCCTGCCTCAGCCTCCCGAGTAGCTGGGACTACAGGCATGTGCCACCATGCCCGGCTAATTTTTTCTATATATTTTTAGTTGGCCAATTAATTTCTTTCTATTTTTAGTAGAGATGGGGTCTTGCTCTTGCTCAGGCTGGTTTTGAACTTCTGACCTTGAGAAATCCACCTGCCTCGGCCTCCCAGAGTGCTAGGATGACAGGCGTGAGCCACCGCACCCGGCCAAAATGAGCTGTTTTTCTTCCAAACCTGCTGCCGCTGTCCCAGCCCTTTCTCTGATGGCACGGTTCTTGTGTGTGTGGGGACATTTGTGCCTATGAAACCTTTCACTGTGGCTGTAGCAGGCAATTACTTACTTCCAAGTCTAACACTCTTTCCTGAAAGATTATTATTTTTTCCCTTAAAGCTTTCATTGGAAGAAAATTTCATTCCTACTTGATGATAGAGCCGAATCAATCAATCGCTGTCAGGCACACATGTACTCAAGTGCATTCTATATGCTCTGCACTGAAACAGTCGCCAGGCTTGGGGGAAGGCAGTTTCAAAGAACAGAAATATTAGCCTTGCTGCTTATCCTGCATCTCGACTTCAGCAGCAGTCATGACCGACCAGCAGACGCTGCCAAGGGGGCGAGGCCGGTGCTGCGCCTCAGGCCCGCGCGGCTGGAGCGACCACACAGCCGCCTGGCTCGGCGCACTCCGCTCGGGAAGCACTTTGCACCGCCCGTGCCACTCTCTCAACAGCCCTCCTGCCACAGACGAGGGGCTGGGTGCCCAGTGTCCCCTGCTGATGAGTGGTGGGCTCAAGGCTCAAACGCTCGGCCGAGGCCAGCACGCATGCTCTGGCCAGCCTCAGCAAACGTGCCCAAGAAGACGTGGCCCCCGGTCGAGAAACTGAAGGGGCTGTCGGGCATCCAGACGGGCAGGAAGAGGGGCTCCACCAGAGGAGGCGCAGACGCAGGGGCTGCGCGGCAGCTCATGCCCTGGGGGAGGCAGACGGGAAAGTGCTGGCCAAAGAGAGGCAGTGGGGCTGGGCCGGGAAGCGCCGTGGTGAGAAGGATGCGCCACGCAGAGCTGCGCTGTCCGTGTGCTTTGTGTTCGCTTCCTTCTGCCTGGGAGGCCTTTGCCTCCCTCTCTTTGAGACTCCTGCCCTCCTGCCTCGGGTCTCGCCCAAATCTCACCCAGTTTGTGATGCTTTCCTAGACTCTCCTAGTCAAAGGGCAATCCATGACCACTCTCATTAACCTTCTTTAAAACTTGTGATAAAATACACATAACATACAATTTACCATTTAAACCATTTTTAAAGCATACAATTCGGTGGCATTTAGTACTGTGCGTTCATGATGTCATGTAATCATCATCACCATCTGGTTCTAGAACATTCTCATCATCCTAGAAGGAAACCCTACACCCATTAAGCAGCTACTCCCCATTGTTCCCTCCCCCAGCTCCGGGAAACCACTAATCTGCTTTCTATCTCTATGGGTTCTCCTGTATTGAATATTTCATATCCATGGAATCATGCGTTACGTGACCTTTTGTGTCTGGCTTATTTCCATTAGCCAATGTTTTTAATGTTCATCCATCATGTAGCATGTGTCAGTATTCCACTCTATTCTATGGCTGAATGGTGTTCCACTGTGTGTGTGTGTGTGTGTGTGTGTGTGTGTGTGTCACATTTTGTTTGTCCTTCACCAGTTGATAGTTATTTGGGCTGTTTCCACCTTTTGGCTGTTATGAATCTTGCTGCTATGAACATTGGTGCACAAGTTTTCACTTGAACCCATATTTTCAGTTCTTTTGGGCATATACCTAGGAATGGAATTGCTGGATCATATGGTAATTCTATGTTTAACTTTTTGAGGACCTGCCAAACTATTTTCCATAGCAGCTGCACCATTTCACATTCCCAGAAGCCATGCAAGAAGGTTCCAATTTCTCCACATCCTTTCCAAAAGTTATTTTCTGGTTATTTTTCTGATAGCCATCCTACTGGGTGTGAAGTGTGAGCTCGCTTTGGATCAGAATTGCATTTCCCCCATGACTAAGACATTGAGCATTTTTTATGTGTTTTTTTGGCCATTTATCCTATTCACTTTTTATTCTCTTTATTTAATTTATTTTTCTTTATATGTAAGTTTTATGACATCACTGTGTCTTACATTATGCCTTTATTTATTAACATAAATAATACATTTTTATCTACCCCATCCTATGACTATGTTAGCCCCATGAGGACAGGGCTCTGTCTGTTCTATTCATTATTGTGTCTTAGTACTAGGGCAGTGTTCATCACTGTAGGAACTCAATATATATTTGGAGAAAAATGGAAGAGCAATTAGAGTTATTCCCCAGCCCCGAGCCTAAGAGCTCGCATCCTGCAGACAGATCAACAAGGGGGGAAGCATTGTGAGGGGGGAGCTGCAGCTGGGCCATACACAAAAGAGTCTGCACGTCAGTGGTCCATACACCAGAGAGACCATACCTCAGGGTCCATATATCAGGTGGCCCATACATTGAGGGGAAATACATCAGGGGGTCATTACATCAGGTGGCCCATACATTGGGGGAAATACATCAGGGGGTCCATACATCAGGGGGTCCACGCATCAGGGGGAAATACATCAGGGGGTCCATATATCAGGGGTAAATACATCAGGGGGTCCATACATCGGGGTCCATATATGAGGGTCCATACATCAGAGGGTCCATACATCACAGTGTCTGTACATCAGGGGTCCATGCATCAGGGGTCCATACATCAGGAAGTCCATACATTAGGGTCCATACATCAGGGTCCATACATCAGGGTCCATACATCAGGGGATCCATACATCAGGAGTCTATACATTAGGGTCCATACATCAGGGGGTCCATACATCAGGATCTGTACATCAGGGTGTCCATACATCAGGGTGTCCATACATCAGGGTCCACACATCAGGGGTAAATACATCAGGGGGTCCATACATCAGGGTCCATATATGAAGGTCCATGCATCAGGGGTCCATACATCAGGAAGTCCATACATTAGGGTCCATACATCAGGGTCCATACATCAGGGTCCATACATCAGGGGATCCATACATCAGGAGTCTATACATTAGGGTCCATACATCAGGGGGTCCATACATCAGGATCTGTACATCAGGGTGTCCATACATCAGGGTGTCCATACATCAGGGTCCACACATCAGGGGTCCATACATTAAGGTCCATACATCCAGGGGTCCACACATCAGGGTCCATACATTGGAGGTCCATACATTAGGGGTCCATACATTGGGGGTCTATACATTGGGGGTCCATACATCAGTGTCCATACATTGGGGTCCATACATCAGGACAGAGACAGAGAGACTGGCGACTGACTTGCCAGCCTACCTCCCTTCTGTCTGCCCCCCTGCCCCCTGCAGTCTCCTAAAACATCATAAAACTAGCCCTGCCCAACTACCTGTAGCCATGGGGTACAGGTTCGTTGTTGATGAGCAAAGTCCAGGCTTGCGTTTCGGGGAGCTGGCCATGATGGCCCTGGTTCGGGCAGCCTGCAAAGCCCACTGTGGCTTCTGGCTTGAGCTCCTGGCATTTCAACCAGGCAAATTGGGCCAAGGATTCCAAGCTCTGCCTCTTAGAGACTCAGGGGACAGAAAAAGTCTACTCCCAAAATATTCACTGGGGAACATACTTACGGGAACTTGCCAAAAGCGTGTGAATTACGTTTTATTCTAAATGTTGAATACATAGAAGGGGCCCTGACATTTCACGGGGGATTTTCTCTGCCATGAAAGTGTAGGCTGAAATGTGAGCTTATGAAGCAGGTGTTTCATATCTAGGCTCGAGGGTTTTGATTTGAGGGGGAGCATTTAGCGGCTAAAATCTCCTCCCAATGATGTAGTGAAGACTCTAGTAAGGGGATGGCCATCATTTCCTCTGGCTGTGGACACCACGCAGGTGCCCGCATGTGGCAACGGAAAGATGGGCGATGGCTGTGTTCTCCTTACAAGCCTCTCACTCTGGGTGTGTGACACGGCTCTCCGCCTGGAGTCTCTTTGATAAAATTCTCAGCTCCCCATTGCAAAGCAGTGTTCTAACGTAAGGCCTGTCCTTCTCCAACTCTGCGCTTTAATAAAAAGAAAGCTTCCGAGAGCCAAGTGCAGTTCCTGATGTTCATGACAGCCACGCCCGATAATGCTGCCACTCGTGCCGCAAGACAGGGCTCTTGATGTATTTCTGGAACATGACCCACTTCTACGGTGTCCTCCTCAGAGAAGGGCATTCCAGGGCGGGAATGCATCTGTAATTATACAATATGGCCACAAAAACAAAACAAAACAAAACAAAATTCAGGCAACTGTCCCTTAGACAATTAAAAAACGCATAAGAATTTCATCTTTAATCTGAAATGATGGAGCTTCAGGACTGACTTCCTTGGACAATGTGCTTTCCGATTTCATTCAATAGTTAATTACTTTGTATAATTAACCTAGGGAATATTTGTGTAAGCCCACTGAAAACCTACCGACAATCCCATGGGGAGGCGTACCCAAGACCCTGTCTCTGTCTTCTAGTGTTAGTAGAAAGCCAGGACTGCCGTGGGACAGTAAGAGTTCACAGAAGAGAAGTGCGTAGAGAACAGTGGCCGGGGAGACAGGGGCGCAGGCCGTTGCACCCAGCCGCGGCCTCCCACACTTGAGCGGGCGACCTCCTCGCACGGGCAACGTGCGCTCTGCAAGGCATTGGCGCGCAAAGAACGGCAGTGTTCGTCCGGGTTAGTCTGTGTCTTCCTGTGGGCTTCTAGGTGACAAAGTCCGGGAGGGTGAGGGTGCGTTTGCTTTTTCATATTACACCCCCCCCTATGTTGCAAAGCGTTTCTTTAAACTGACATATGACATCTAAAGCATCATCTATAATCATGGTTCTATTATTCTGGAATTGTGATAGAACAGAAATATTGGTTGAGGTCTTAGTACCAGAGGACACTCTGTCCTGAAGGGAGTGGTGTGTTTCTTTTTGGATGTTGTCACCAGGAAATAATGCATAGAAAACCTGGCATGGTTAGGTGAATGCCAGGTCTGAACCGGTTCAGAAGACAGGATGCAAAGTCACCATTTTGGGTCTTTACACAAAATTGTAAAAATCAGCTTTTGATATTTTGTACTTATCAAAAGCAGTAATGTCAATGCTTGTCAATGCTAACTTACCATAGCTGATGATAAAAATAAAATAAAAGTACTATGTGAATTATTTTGTAACAGCCTGATTGTTAATTTTCTGAAACTAATATTAAAATTATACTCTATTACTTCAGCACATACAAACCGAAGGTGATGATTTGGACTAGAAAAATGGCAGAAAGGAACCCCTTAGGGGTTAAATGTCACAGTTGCAGGGCTGCAGACAAGCTCTGCCATTGTTTTCTCTTCTTCCTTTTCAATACCAGCTATCATGGAGATGTCAAAAATTATTTTTACCTCTCCCATGCATACCCCTCTTTTAAAAAATCGCTAACTGGATTTACTAATACAGGGCAGGATAGCATCTCAGTTAAGAGGGTGCCTTTGGGAATAAAATTGACCTGGATGTTCCTCCAATCTGCCTCTTTCTAGCAAGTGACTTAACCTCTCAAACTCCAGCTTCCTGATCTGTAAAGTAAAACATCGTAAAAGCTCCTAGCCTGTAGGGATGTTGTGACAATTAAGTGAGCTAATGCATGCAAAGCTCTTAGCACATTCAATTAATGTTAGCTATTATCACAGGTGACATGTGAATAACGGAAGTGAGGTGCCAGTTTTCAGCCAACACCCAACCCGCCTCTCTTCCCTCTCCTCTGAGTTTAATCAGACATCACAGTTCTAATGAAGGTACTTCTCTGATCAAAAACCTGCAACGGAATCAAACGCAAACTCCTTTAGCATGCACGTAAAGCCCCTCACGGAACGGCTTCACTCTCTCTGACCAACGGCAACGCTCCTTGGTCCTCATGAGTGCTACACTCCAGGACCTCTGAAATCATCGCCCTTTCCCTGCATGAGCCACCAGGCCTTTGTGAGCTGCTCAGTCCCCTCTTTCCTAAGGTCCTTTCTTCCCCATCTTTACCTGCAGACCAGTTCCAGCCAGAACCACTCAAGCTGGAGTTAATTTCTTTTAGTGTATTCCCCTGGTACTCTCTTTGTGCCTTTGCCATAGCACTTACCACCCCCACTTGGAATTTCATCCCCTGAGTAATACAGCAAACTCCTTGAAAAATGAAACTGAATCTTTTCATCATTGTTGGGCCTTTTATAGTACTTTGTAAGCTACTTTGTACATAATCATACAGCAGAAAAGATTGGTTGAGTTGAGTTGAAAAGTTGACTCTCTAAATCTGTGGTCTCCAACCCCTAGGCTATGGTACCAGTCGGTGGCCTACCAGGAGCTGGGCCACACAGCAGGAGTTAAGTGGCCGCTCCTATCCTGTGGGGACGTTGGATACATCCAACATAAGGATAGGGAGTCAGTTTTATATATGTATGCATTGCTGTTTCCCTAGCAGGGTGCTGGGCACACAGTAAGTGCTCAGTAAACACTTGCTTTATGTGACAACATGGATTGCTGTCCATGTACAAGAGAACCGTAGTTTCTGTGAAGAATTGGGTACTAAATAAAATCTATTAGAAAGGGGAAATTATTTAGCCAGGGAGGAAATTCATTCTAAAGAAAACAAAGCCTGAGGCATAATGGCCCTATTGGATTTGGGCGAGGGAACTGGAACTGCTAGGCATTTTTAGCCCTGATTTATTCAGAAAAACATGGAATAAGACAGAAAATGTGAAGTGGGGAGTGAGTCCCCTGAAGGTTTGGAAATGACTGCCGTCTTTCTTTTCTAACACTGCTTTAGGTTTCAAATGTAGTGAGTGAGAAGAGTTGGGAGTAAGTTTAGGATCCATTTTCTCTACTTTCTCATAATTTTTTTTAAAAGGGGAAAGAACAAGAAATAGATTGGAAAGTTCAGAGGAAGTCTGTGGAGGGGACCGTAGAAGAAGAGGTGAAGGACGGACTGCAAACGCCGAAGGGTGAGGCAGCCACCCTGGCAGAAGGTAAGTGAGCACGGCGCCAGGAGAATCGGAAGGAAAGGGCGGAGAGCGCGGAGACAATGCAGCCTAGGGGAGCCACGGCACAGGCAGTTCAGCTCGCACGTGGCTGGGCTCCCATGGTCTACAGGAACCAGGAAGTTTGGGGGCTGACGTAGTAAGGGAAGTAAATAAGGGAGAAGTGGGTAGAATTTTAAGGTTGATGATTTCATGACAATAAGTTATTGGACAGTAAGAATTTTGGAACAGCATTTAAAGAGAATATGAGTCATCCCAGAGACTAGAGCAATCTTTAAGGAAAGATGTGAAAATGTTAGGAACTGGAGGATACTTGTCCTACTGAAAATCTTAGAAATAAAACCAAATTCATTCATTCTTTCATTTAGCATTTATTGAGCATAGTCCATGCACTGTGGACACAAAGGCAAATGGATCAGTCCAAACACAATCCCTGCTTTCTTGGAGTTTACAGATGAATAAATCAGATAGTCTCACTGCTGTATATATACGTGTGTGTGTGTGTGTGTGTGTGTGTGTGTGTGTGTGTGTGGTCTCCAAGTAGGTGCTGGAGGGGAGGGAACACAGGTGGAAGAGTGACTAACACAGGTACTAAGTCTAGACGCAGTGGGGAGGGTGGGGAAGTTCCCAAGTGAGGACTTGCAGGGAGCAGGTTCGAGCTGAGACTCGAGGGTGCCCAGGAACCAGAGGGGAGAGGGACGGGGCAGGATGGAGAATCCTAGACAGCAGTCCTGCAGAGGAAGGACCGTGGTCCCGCCAGGAAACAAGCGGAAGACCGGCAGAGCTGGAGCGTGAAGTCAGGAGAAACCCCACGAACCGAGGCAAGACAGTGGAGTGGGCGAGGCCACCTCAGACAGACCCGAGGGCCACAGCCACTGTGTGAGGTTCCATCTCAGGAGCAGTCGGCCGTCACAGGGAGCCATGATCAGGGCATGGTATGTGAGCAGCAGCTGGACTCTCTGGGAGCCCAAACTCACCCATTTCTGAACCCGAACTGTTCGTGTTTTTACCACCTTTGATGGACAGAGGTGTGGGTTAGGCTTGTTCATTTTCTCTCTGTGGCTTCCTAAAGCCCATGCCCCTGGACTCCTAAGATCTTCTGGATGCTTTGGAGGTATATAAAGGCTGCTTGTCCTTATGTTGAAGAAGCCTAGACTGTTGTTTTCTTTTGCTTGCTGGTCTATTTTCAAACTTTTTCATCTCTGAGTGCCGCCATTGCACCTGTCTCGCTTTCTAATTGGATGAAAAACCAGAGAATCCAACTAATAGGCTTCTGTTGAGCTTTATTCAGGGGGTTTATGGGTCTTTGGGGGCCTTTTGGGGTTTCCTCTCTGTCCTCACTGGTGCTCCAGACGGCAGGTGGCTAGAGTGAGCCCCAGCTGGTACCTGAGTGCTGTGCTGTCCAATATGGTGGCCACGTTTCAATTAACCCAAATTAAATAAAGTTAAAATTCTGTCCTTATTTGCACTAGCCACATTTCAAGTTCTTGGGGGCCACATGTGGCCAGTGCAGTGCAGATTTGAACATTTCTATTTTTGCAGAAAATTCTATTGATGGTAGAATGCTGTGAATAGGACACTCTACATTATTGTCATTGATGCTGTTAAACATCTATTTGACAGCTACTCTAGCCACACGCCAAATACAGAACTGGATGTGGCCTTCCTTATTCTGCTAGGCTTACAAAAATACATCCTGAAAATTATTCCTTTCAGAATTGTTATAATTACTGTAATGCGATTGAAGAAGTGCTCAGAGATCTGCTATTTCCAGCAGAGAAATGGACTCAAAGCTAATTAAAATTCACATTTGCTCACTGGAAAATCTGAGCTCTTGCCTGATTCACCTTCCCACAGTGTCTCCAAATAGACACAAGTCACATATGTGTTGTGTAGCCTTAATCTATTTGGGACATTACATGACACCACCTGAGCCTTGTCAATTCATACCTCAACCTTGGGAGCACAGGTACATTTAGGAAGCTGAGCTGCTGGCACAAACAGATGCTCATATTTTTAAAAAATCAGCTCATTGGACTGATGAGCTAGTTATGCTATGCTCTGAGCTCAGAATAGCAACTGAAGAAGAAACAGATCGAAGATATTTCCGCCAAATGTTATATAAAAGTCATGTCAAGGTGCGATGAATAATGCATTAGTGATTCCTTGATTTTCATTATGCACCAGCTTGAGAATGTGCTCTGTGCCTAGAGGATTCTGTAATAATAACAATACTAATTGCATTTCTGCATTACTGCTAACCCCTGTGACAATTCTGCAAGGTAGATGGCATGTTCCACGTCTTACAGATAAGGAAACTGAGGCTAAGGGGGCTGGGGATAGTGATGCAGCAGGAGTCCTGCTTGAGGCTGACCTGGCGAAGCAGACTGTCCCAGGTTGCTCTTAGATGCACATGCCTCTCTTCCCAGCACCTGTGGCGGGGTCGGGGGCGAGTTAGGAAGACACAGCAAGACCAGGTGAGAGGCAGGGGAGCCCTTAATGGCCCAGGTTGATGGCACCTTCCCTGCAGCATCTCCACCCATCTCCATAGCCCCTCTGGTGGCTATGTGGCTCCTGTGGACTGAGCCTTGCGTTTGGCTGACTATAAAACAACAAAGTAGAACACAGCGTCTTCTTTTCTGGCTTGCGGTTATCTGATTTCCTACACCATAGGTTTCAAAGAGAAGTTCCACCTTACTGAAAAATGAACAGATAAACAATGGAAACAAACAGAAAACCTGCAAAAGTCTATAGGGTGAATGGGAACAGCCCGTGTCTTACCGATCTGCTTGTTTTTATTACCACTGCTCTGGGGTTGAAGTTCTGTCCATAGTAGGGCTGGATTACAGGATGTTGCAAGATTTCTCCCCGCGGGAACTCAGCTGCTAACCCAGGTGGCCCAGAAATCTTTCCTGAGCGTCTCTCATGTGCCAGGCACTCACAGTCCAAAGACAAGTGAGGTATAGTTCTAGCTCATGCAGAGCCTGTGGTCTGGCCTGGGAGAACCTCATGTAACCAAGTAACTAGAACATATCAGGGTAAATGCTTTGATACTGGGATGTGTGAAGTGCAAATGATTAAATAACAAAATGCACACTTCCAGGCCAAAATTCAAGGTCATGGCTGGTCTGCACAGGATGCAAACTTAGAAACGGGATGAGATGGAAATGGACTATAGTTGTAGGCATGTTGAGATGGTCTGGACAAGGCACACCAGCACCCAGTGTCCATGCTGCGGGGCCACTGGCAGGGCTGGCCCACGAGTTATCAGAACAGCACGTTAAGGAGCCACGACTCATTCACCCAGAGGTGGAATCAGCTTCAGTGACTCGCTGGTCAACATCTATCAGCAAAGCCAAACAAGAAGTGAAGGGTCGGGTCAGGGCCAGAAAATAACTTCACGAGATGAGCACCTTGGACTCGTCCATCAGGGGAAATTAGGGACTGCAGGCTCAGTGCAGGTGAGGAAAACGGGGCGTGAGCCAGGGGTGGACCCAGAGTTCTGGGCACAGAGAGTGACGTAAGTTTGCCCCTGGTCGGGAACGGGGGAGAGGGCTGAGATGATCACAGGGACTGAGAACCACGCCGAGCTGGCAGCGCCAGCCACATCCACCCGGACTGAAATCTGAACCCCTGGCCCAACAGGCTACTCAGGCAGGCAGTGGAACTGACTTCTGGGGGCACCTGGTGCCCTCCTTTGCACTCTGGAGCGGGACCTGCCGCGCTTGCTTCAGAGAGTGGGGGAGGGGAGATGGGAGCCACTCTGTACCTCAGCCAGATCCGGGAAGGAGAAATCGCACAGGAGGTAGGGAAGGGAAGTGACAGGGACGGGGCAGGCTGAATCTGCAAGGTGTGTGGACAGGAAGAGGAGAAGCCAGGGGTGGGCAGCTGGTTTTTCCAAAGGCGAGAACGGTGTCTTGGCCCGGAGCAGTAAGAGCCCGGATTTCTCCCCCTGAGACTGCACCAGGGCAAACAGGGCAGAGGCAAAGCGCCTCCGCCTCGAACAAGAATGTTCTCTACACAGTGACAGCCCCGTGGCACCTGGGAGCCCGACTTGTTCCTTTGTATCTTGCGTGTTTTATAACAGCCCTCCAGAAGCAGGTGATGAGTTTCCATCTTGACTTCAGTGCGAGTTACGACAAAGAGGGAAAGCACGTTCCTAATATTCCCTATGTCGACCCAGAAAGGAGCCTCGTGTTGTTCCTTTCCTCATAGTTAGTCTTCCTGGGCGGGGCAAAGTGCTACACAGTAAAGACAAGGTCATACGACGGCCTCAATCTCTTTATAACGACAGCCCTAAGCTCTCAGGGCAGGATATTATTATTGCAAACAATAGTCAATAACCCCATGTTCTACACAACCAAAGAGTTTAGCGTTGACTTTGGAGACTCTTGCAGAAGAACATGGTCCTCCAAATACGTGTGGAATCTCTAAGCTATACTCTGTCTCTGGGGGACCCTTGGCCCTAAATGTCAGAGAGCTGCTCTGACCATAAAGGAAAACTACATACAAGGGGCCAGAGCTCAGGCATGGAAGGCACGAAGCAACCCTGCGAGCAGACACTCAGCTCTGAGTCAGCACTGCAGCCAGACTGCTTCCGGTTGGTTCTGCAGTCCCGCAGGGGACCAGCTGTGGCCTTATGTCTGTGCCAGGTCTCTCCACAGGCAGCTTGTGCACACCGACGATTGCAGTGCAATGTCAGTTCCAAATTATCTGAGCAGGCGTGGTGCCCAGGTGTGCACGCGGTCTTCTAAGCACCACTCATGCGTAGACGCCAAAAGCTGTCATAGAATGAGTATGCCACGGGCTCTACATGGAAAAACTAGGAGATTAACTGTGGGTTTTATCACCATTTATCCTTGTTGTGGCTGAGGGTAGATTCCCTCTCTTGTGCGACCTAAGTATTTACTTCGAGAGCATGACTCTTTCCTGCCTGAAAGTCAAAAAAGATGGCAAACTCAACATCCAGGTCCTTCGTCTACCTGCAA